CCCCCCCCCCCCCCCCCCCCGTAAGCAACTGAGCTCAAATCCACACCCGGTGCAGGCCCACAAAGCTGCACACAGACCATAAGTGAGTGAACGCACATCTCAGAGCAGATTTGTTGAAGCGGAGACGCGCGCTTCACTCCCTCCCGCCACCCAAGCCCCACTCCTCTCCATCCCCTCCCCTCCTCCCTCTCCCCAACCCCCAGGCCCTGGGGCAGCCGAGCGCCGGGCGGGGCGGGGCGGGGGCGGGGGTGGGGCGGGGCGGCGCGGGACCTAAAGGAGGAGTGGCGAGGCGCGGGGGCCAGATCTGTGAGCGCTGTGCTGACTGCTCTGACTGAGAAGGCCTGTCATAGCCCGGACCCTGAGGAGACCCCTCGCCCCCGACCGGCCTGGCCAGGCCCCCCTCCCCCCGCTATGGAGTTCCTCTGGGCCCCTCTCTTGGGCCTGTGCTGCAGTCTGGCTGCTGCTGATCGCCACGCCGTCTTCTGGAACAGTTCAAACCCCAAGTAAGCCCCTAGCCTCCCGCTAGCAGCTCGGGCGCCTGGTTGGCACTGCCTCCTTCCTTGCAGACCAATTATCCCAGGCCAGCGCCTGCTCTGAGCTTAGGGGAGGTGACCAGAGGCGGGAGGGATTCGGGGGATTTCCTTCTCGTCTCTTCTCCCCCGTAGCTGGGAGCCTGCATCTCAGATTCACTAGGCACTACTCTCTGCTCTTCCCTTCCTTCCTTCTGGCACCCTGATTGCTCATAAATGAGGGACCCGTGTTGGGAAGTCACCCTTTGCAAGCATGGACTACCCTCCTTGGTCACCTAGGCTCTTGCTCTAGGCCCCCTATCATGAAGGCCTCTGTACCCTTCCTTGCTTGTTACTGAGGCATCTGCCTGGCCAGTCAGACAGGTACCTGATGTAACATGGAGAGTGTTCAGAGTGCTCAAATGGAAAGCTGGAAGGGGCCCTCCGGAGGGCCTGGACTTCAGGCGTCCGTATGCAAAGAAACTCTGAAAAGCTTGCCACAAGAGTTTTTTTGAAGGGACCTGAGGGAAACACATGGGTAGGTTAAGGCAGTCACCTGTTAATGAGATTCAAGTCTGTACAGCTGAAAGATTGGAGAGAGGTTTTGGGGAAAAGAAATCCAGAAGGAAGGGGGAACGCCAAAAGGGTTACAGAGGGCTTGGGCAGGTCGGGGTTAACATCTCCTGGGCAGGTTTAGAGCTTTGAGACAAATGGTCCTAGCCTTTGTTCTTGCCCTTGAGTTTTCTGAAGTTATAGGAACAATATTTGAGGGAAAACAGGAGACAGGAGAGGGAGGAGCTGGCAAAAGGAAGGCTGGACAGCTTGGGGTGGTTGAAAACACCTCAATCAGCTTGGGCCACCCCTTGCCCATCTCCCTTCCCTTGATAAATATATTGTACCAGCTTCCTCTGGCCCTGTAGCATTGCCTGCTGGGGTTGAAGGTGGAAGGTCTGCTGTTTGTGGCATGTTTTGGAGTGTAGGGAGACAAGTGCCAACCACAGAGGGCAGTGCCCTTTTGCCCATCAGGTTTCAGGGAAGCCCAGTCAGCCCTCCCCACCCCACTCCTTATTGCCTGCCTTCCTTGACCCAGTCTTGCCCTAGTGGCAGAGAGCAAAGTCCCTGTTTATGCCCATGCCAGGTGTTGGCTGAAGAAGGAGGAGGGGACAGGAAGCCATGAGTAGGGAGGGGGGACCCAGGCTTTTCCGTTCCCAAGCTCCCAGGTTTCCTTTCTTTCAGGAAGGAGCCTCTTCCTTGCCCCCCTCCCTGCCTTCCCTGACGCCGCTGCCATCCTTTCCCAGATGGAGAGCAGGAGTCAAACTGGGGCTAAGTGGAGCAGATTGTACCCCCAGGAGGGGGTGATGGGTGTCCCACCAAGCACAGCTTCTGCCCTGTCCATCTGGTCACACACTCTTGAAAGCGCGCGCGTGCACACACACACACACACATACACCTCACACTACTATACCCACGACTAAAGCCAATTCAGCCACTCCAGAGTGGGAGTCCAGCCAAGCCAGACCCAGCTTGGGGCAAAGATGAGGTGGCAATGAGCTGGGCGGGTGTGAGGCTGTCATGGGTGACTCAGGGCAGTGGGCATCGGCCCTGGGATCTTCAGGCCCCAGGCAGGGGCAACATGGTGAGAAGGGCGGTGCCACTGAGAGCTGGGACCGGCCTCCTGGGCAGTGGAAGGGCAGATACCCGATCCACTTAGACTTGCTAACTCTTCTTTGCTTGGAGGACAGTTCCCAGGGTCAGATGGGCACTGTGCCACCCCAGGGTCTTGGGGGCTGTCTACGTTTGCCAAGTGAAATTTCACAGGATCTCCTGAGTGTTGGGCGGGCAGCAGAAGTGGTTGAGGAATGACTCAGTGCCCGTCACGGGAATGGGGGAAAGACGCCAGGCCAAGAGCTGAAATACCTGTTCCGAAATGGCTTCTATGTTTATCTCTCCGGAGAGGAATTTTAAAAGCCTCTCTCAGCTCCTCTCGCCCTCTCTCTTTCCCCTGGGGTGGGGGAGGGGCCTGTAAGCCTGACTCCAGCGCTAACTTGCTCCTGCAAGGCCAGGCCTCTTCAGGGTATGCTGATTGGGCAGGGGGTGCCCACCTCTGACAGCCCCTGGGCCTAACCCCTGCCCTTCCCCGCCCCCCAGCGCAGAGCTTTGGTTTGAAGCAAGTTGGCAGCCTACTCTGCTGAGTCTCTAGCTGGCAGCGCTTGGGGGAATTAGAGAAGCTGACCAGTTTAGAAAGGGGGAGTGGAAGCACTTTCCCCCTTACTGGGACCCCACCCAGACTGGAGCCAGGTGTCTGGAGCTGGGGGAAGGGCCAATGAATTGTGGGGCTGGAGCTTATGGGCCCTGGGAGGATGGGCTGGGGGAGGGGAGCCAAGCCAGCTCCACCTGGGGAAGGGGGGAGAGGTCTCAGATCCAAAATCTACAGTTTTGGCGTTCCTCTGGGAGGACAATTTGGGGCTTTTGGAAATAAAAGGACAGGGGTGTTTTGGCATATTTGAGAGAAGTGGGCAAGGCAATCTGTTCATCAGTTTGGGTGCTAAAAAAGAGAGTTTTGAGGGGACTGGATGAAACTGATTTAACTTAAATGACTAGGGCCCTGGATGGAGTGAAACTGGGAAATGTGCAATATCTTTAGTGGACCAGGGATGGAAATGCAGGGAATAAAAGAGGTGACTTAAAAAGAAAACTTACGTGTGTTGGGGGCTCAGTGCTAGTCTGGGATTTCAGGGAAGGTTACCTGGCTCCTGTTTTGGATGCCAAAGACCTCACCTAAAGTCTAATAGCATCTCAAGGAGCAGCTAGTAGAATAGATCACAGAAAATATTTATGGGTAGAAAGGAATGATGAGTGAGCTAAAGAAATATTTAGCAGCTCATCCTTGTGTAAATATCAGAGGGATTATGGGAAGTGCTTTGATGCCTGAAAGATACTGTGTGGATGCATTTGGAGGATTAATGGGGAAACAATAAGAGTGAGGGACTGTTTGGAGATTGTGGAAAGATATTTAAGAGATCAAGATCAGTAAATATTGGAAGTGAGATTTCAGAAAAAGATCTTTTGGGGGGAGGGAGTTATCCAGTGTGAACTGGGAGGGGTCATGTAAACATGGCAGCTCAAGGCTCTGGTCTGACCATGTGCTTCCTCCCCCTCTGTGATGCCCAGGTTCCTGAATAAAGACTACACAGTACACGTACAGCAGAATGACTACCTGGACATCATCTGCCCATATTATGAGGATGACTCTGTGGCAGAAGATGCCATGGAGCGATACACGCTATACTTGGTAGAACGTGAGGAGTACGAACTGTGCCAGCCCCAATCCAAGGACCGGGTCCGCTGGAAGTGCAACCAACCCAATGCCAGACATGGCCCAGAGAAGCTGTCTGAGAAGTTCCAGCGCTTCACACCCTTCACCCTGGGCAAGGAGTTCAAAGAGGGACATAGCTACTACTATATCTGTGAGTGCCTGGGAGACGTGCACATAAGTGGACTTACGTGATGCATATGCTTAGGTCTACGCCTGGTGAAGAGTCAAGTAGCAGAGGGTCTCTTCCAGTCCTGAGAGTCTTTGATTCATTCACTCATCTTATAGTGAGCTTCTGCTGCGAATAGGGCACTCTGCTTTACACTACAGACAAAGAGATAAATACGTCATTACAGAATCCCTGTCCTCAAGGAAGCTGGAAGAGGACACACATTGGCTAATGGACCATTAGAACAGTATAATGTGGTAGATGTGAGCACACAGACCCTGGGGAAATGGCCTGGGCATATGTTAGGCTTAGTGAAGCCTTGCTCAAGGAATGTGACCCCAGAGCTTAGGACAAGCAAGAGTTGGCTAGAAGGAGGTATAAATGCAAAATGAGCATGACATCTACCAAGCCATTGTTATCAAGTCACCTCTATCACATGGAGGGACTTCATGTGTGTCAGAACAGACCTGGGATCCATATGCTTGTCAGTAGCTGATTTGTTCAGAAGTCTTTCATCACGTCTTTCTTGGGATGAGTGGACTCCAACCTCAGCCTTTCAGTTAACCTGTTAGCCTAGGAGCCTGGTTAGCCTAGCCTAGCAATTGACTTCAACCAAATCAGTTGGTGTTGAGTTGACTCCAACTCATTGCAATCCCATGTGTGTCAGAGTAAGTGCCATGTTGTTGTTGTTGTTAGGTGCCATCAAGTTAACTGTCAGGGAATTCTGTATGGTTTAGCCTGGCTGGAGTGGAAGGGACATAGGAGCTGGTTAGAGAAGAGCTTGGAGAATAAGAGAGGATGAGTTTTGTGGAGAATGGATTCAGGACTTGCTCTAGGAGAGGAAAATTAAGAGGAGTATGTGACTCCCACCCCCAAGAAAGCACATATTATGATGCTTTCACCCAGTTTCTGGTTTGGAGAGGTAGAAGATGACATGAGAGGAGGCAACAGTGTCTGTGTTCTCTTCTCACTACTACCTAAAGCTGCGTTTGCCCAAAGAATGGAAGGTTAGGCTGAACATTGACTAGAAAATAGGCAAAAACTAAGAAATCAGAAATTAGAAGGAAGAGAGGAAGTAGCATTTGCCAAAGGCGCTCTGGTGGCACAGGGTAGTACACTGCTAATGAAAGATTAGTGGTTCAACCGTGACAGCTGCTTTGAGAGAGAGAAGAGCAGTCTCCTTGAAGTATAGCCTTGGAAGTGCAATGTGAGGAAATGGACCTAGTAATAGTAGCTTTTATAGACATCTGGGCTTATGTTTTCTTCAAGATTCCTTCCCTAACACCCTGTGGGTTTACCTTGCAGCTAAGCCCATCCACCACCAAGAAGATCACTGCTTGAGGTTGAAGGTGACTGTCAACGGCAAAACTAGTGAGTGTCAGGAACCTGTGGGCGTCCCCTCTCAATGTCCACAGTTTTCTCCATCTTTATGCTAGTGCTGGGCCAATAATTCTGGGACTATGTTGTTAGTTGTTGTTAGATGCCATGGAGTCGAGAGCAACTCAAAGTGACCCTATGAACAACAAGATCTGTACGCCGTCCTATCCTGCACCATCCTCACAATTCCTGACACCCTAGAGCCCATTGGGCAGTCACAGTGTCAATCCACCTGTTTGAGGGTCTTCCTCTCCTTCATTAGCCCTCTACCCTTCCAAGCATCATGTCCCTCTCCAAGGAATAGCCTTTCTGGGTCTATAAGGATGTCTTACAGCACAGTCTACACAACACCCCTGCTTCTCTGGCTCCCTGGTACATTCTGATCTCCGGTTCCTCCTTATCTTTCAGCTCACAGTCCTCAGGCCCATGACAAGCCACAGGAAAAGAGACTTCCAGCAGGTGAGTAACTGGAGCAAATTGACCCAGGACACAGAGAGGGTCTGTTGGAGAGGGTTGGGTTTAGAAGGTGGACCCCATGCCAGGCAGGGGCTAGAAGAACTACCAGAGGGCTGAGGATCAGTGCCAGCACTACAGCCACTCACTATAGGTGCCTTACCCTCTCCCTTTGCAGATGACCCTGAGGTACAAGTTCTACACAGCATCGGTGACAGTGCTGCCCCTCAACTCTTTCCATTTGCCTGGGCTGTGCTGCTTCTGCCACTTCTGCTGCTGCAAAACCCATGAAGGTGTTTGCCACAGCTGACTTATGGATTAACACTGGGCTGAAGGGGCAGGGGCAAGGACTCCTTACCTGTCTTGTGACCGCTCCTAAAGCCCCAGCCTTGGGAGCTACTCCCACCATATGCACAAGCTGCAACACAGCAGCCTCAAAACGGGTCAGTATTAGGGGTTTCAACCCAGAAGAGTTAAGTGAGCCTGGCAGTGCCACCCCTGCTTCCACCTTGGAGGGACAGAGAGAAGCTGGAAAGCCTTTCCCTGCCATTCCTGCCCTTAAGCCAAAGAAACAAGCTGTGCAGATATGACCCCTCAAAGGGCCCAGGAGAGCGGAGCTGGCAGATGCCCGGGGTCATGCAGATGGACAGATGAATGATGAGTTTGGCAGAGATGCCCCTTCTGGAGAGAGCCAGGATGGCCAGATGAAATGACTGAAGGAAAGCAAGGAACAATTTTCTGCTTGGGAACCAAGGACAGGAAGAGCAACATGTTTGGGCTGACCCTGCGTCTCCCCCTCAAGACTAACATCTGTGGAGCTACCACGAAGTTTGCAGCTAGGCACTGCATACTTTTCCCACATCCGGGGCACCAGGCCCCAGAGCTGTGCCAGCAGGGGGGCTGTGCCAACCTGTTCTTAGAGTGTAGCTGGAAGGGCAGTGCCCACATGTACTAAGTCTGTGCCTAAAGGGCAGTGCCCACGTGTACAGTATCTGTATATAAACTTGCTGTATATGTCAGTGCTGATTTCTACAACTGGAGTTTTTATACTGTGTTCTTTGTTTCAAAATAAAACCACATGTTTGTTTATTTTGGACATGCATTTTCTGCTTCTGAATACTAGCTTATGACCATTTAGGCAAAAAGAGTGAGTTTTTACTATACTAGGCTCTGTGCTACACCTGTTTTAATTATTGAGTTTTAATTATTTTCCTTGTCTAAAGGACAAGTAAGTACCCCTGCCAAGCCAAAATGGTAGTAAAGTGTTTCTCATCAGAGGGGTGTCCAGGTCAGGAGTGCTTCTACAGTAGTCTCTCAGGTTCTAGGCTGCACCGCCCCATTCCCACCTCCTCAGTGCTGGGTTCTGGCATATGGTTTAGGCACTCATGCTGTTTGAGTGAGTCAGGGCAGCCACTCAGGGGAATGCCAGCTGAGGCATGCAACTGCCTCACCAGCAAAGCCGTGTGGGAGGTTGGGAGGGAAAGTTCCCAGCAGTATGAAGGATGAACTGGGTCATTGACAGAGAATTCAATGGATTGGCCCAGTGACGTAAGGTTGGCCGTGTGGCTAAAGGAAGAGGGTATTTTACCAAAGGTTGGCAGTACTGGTAATGACTGGTTTATTTAGGGAAGAGGCTAGGCAGAGGCTTCAGCAGAGAAGGAAGTGGGAGGGTTTCAAACACAATGAAATTCATGAGAGGGGGTTGCCTGCCTGTGAGCCTTGCCATAATTTTTTTCACTCTACCACATAGGTTCACAGGCCAGTGGATGTTGAGGCTAAGGGCAGAAGTATACCTAAAGTACAGCAGGGGACCACCAAAGGTCAGTTTCTTAAGTGTCCACCACCAGCTATAAGATTATTCTGCAAACTAAAACTTTTCCTGTTTGAGAACCAGCACAGGTCAGGAAGACTGATCTTGCCCCCCTTTATGTAGAAAAAGAAGAAAATTAAGGAAAAAGAAAAGAAAAACTGAGCACATAGTAGGCCAATTTTCATTAATGAAAGCTAGGGAGGTGCAGTTTTAATTTTCATATAGTGCCATAATGTGCTAAGGAAAAGATAAAAGAGCTTGACTTGCATTTTTGAGCTGATAATATGGTAAAAGTGTCAAATGTTTGGTTGTCATTGTTAGGTGCTATTAAGTCAACTATGACTTGAACAACAGATCTCAACCTTGCCCTTTCTTGCACTATCCTCACAATCTATCACACTCAAGCATACTGCGGTAGTCACTATGTTAAAACCCATCTTTTTGAGGGTCTTTCTGACCCTCCACCTTCCCACCTATCTCCAAGGACTGGTTCCTTCTGAAAATGTGCTCAAGGTAAGAAAAATCTTTACCATCTTGCCTCCAACGGACATTCTGGCTGCACTTCCTTCAAGACGGATTTGTTTGTACTTTTTGGCAGCCCGAAGTTTATTCAATACTCTTAGTCAACACCGCAATTCAAAGACATCAATTCTTGTGCCATTTTTATTCACTGTCCAACTTTCAGATTGAAAATAATGCTTGGATCAGGCAATTTAGTCCTTAAACCGATATTCCTTGCTCTTTAGAACTTTGGAGAGGACCTTGACAGCAGATTTCCCTAATGCAACCCGTCTTTTGGTTTCTTTTCCAATTTTTGGACAGGGGAGCCTTTTCAGTGTGACACAGGCGCTATTTTCCTTACATGCACCCCTGGCTGGGGGAGTCTAAGTGATTGAAAGGAAAAACTAAGCTGCTGCAGGTGTCACGACAAACTTGCGGACTCCTAGGGCCAAGGCGCAGGTTCGGGAAAACGCAAAGTCGAACCAGGAACCCTGGGAAGCCACTGAGGAAAAGTCAGCCGGCCCCTGGCTCGCGTTCCGAGAGGCGGGCCTGAGTTCCGGTTTGGTGTCCTAGGGGCAGAGCGGATTCCGGGTTTATTTCCGGGAGCGGCCGCCCGAACGTGCGGGGGCGGGGTTAGCTGCGGGGAGGGGCGGGGCTCCAGGACCGCAGGGTGCTGAGCTAACTAGCGCGCCACGGCTGGGTACGGGGTGCGTCTCCCGGACGGATGGAGCCGTACGTGGTGGTCGACTCGCTCCTGTCAGGAGCCTGTGTGCTCTTCACTCTCGGCATGTTCTCCACCGGCCTGTGAGAGAGCGGCCGGGCTGGGCAGGGGCAGGACCAGGAAGTCAGGAAAGAAGAGAGCTGGGCAGAACTTGACCGCAGCCCCAGGCTACGTCCGGGACCCAGAGTCAAAGTGAAATCGGGTCGAGGAAACCGGGGAACTAGGGCATGCCATGCTCACTTGGTCTGGGGGAGAAAGCAAAGGATTGAGAGTGGACTGGGGCAGGGGGGTCTGCCCGGGCTGTTTATGGGGTTCTGCCTTTGTCTGGGGATGATGACAGGTATCGGGTGTCTAGACCTACTAGCACCTTGGTACTTCTTTCTTACCCTTCACCCCTCCTTTCGGGGCCCCGTTGCAGCACGGATCTTAGGCACATGCGGGTGACCCGAAGCGTGGACAGCGTCCAGTTCCTGCCCTTCCTCACAACGGATATTAAGTGAGAAGGGAGACTTTGGGGGGAAGGGACGTGGGTGAAGGGGAGGTAAGGGACTCTCGGGCCCTCCTCCTACATCCAGCCCCCAGATGCTATGTACCTCCCTCTACGCTGCAGCAACCTGAGCTGGCTGAGTTATGGGGTCTTGAAGGGAGCCGGGACAATCATCGTGGTCAACACTGTGGGTGCTATGCTTCAGACCTTGTATATCTTGGTGTATCTGCACTACTGCCCTCGGAAGGTAGAGGCCCTCCCGCACCCACCTGCTGCAAAGCCCTGCCTTGCTGGCAAAGCAAATACTCCTTCCTAGAAGATTAACCTTTTCCTGGAAGGCTCCTCCAGCCTTGCAGTATTCTTTTTTATGAAGCTTGATTTCTGAGACTCACACATTGCCCTAAATCTAGCAAGCCTGATGGTCTCTATGCTGCCTTGAACCAAGAGCTGAGGCAAGAGCATTAACTCTACCTCCTCATGCAACTAATTACACAAGCATTCATTAAGCTCCTACTGTGTGTACTGTGCCCACACAACTAAACTCTGAGGTTTAGTGGACAGATCAAAAGTTATTCCAGATCAGTGGTGGGAGACTGTGACAAATCGTGACAAATGCAATAGTAGAGGTTTCAACAAAGGCTTCCCACAATGGGGAGATGGGAGAGGGCAGGGTGAATTAATTCCAGAAAAGGTCAAGAGTGGGCTCCTGACACATCTAGAAGTAAGATTTCTCTCTTGCTCTGCAGCAAATCCTGCTTCTACAGACTGCAACCCTGCTAGCAGTCCTTCTCTTGGGGTGTGGCTACTTTTGGCTCATGGTCCCTGACTCTGACACCCGGCTTCAGCAGCTGGGCCTCTTCTGCAGTGTCTTCACCATTAGCATGTACCTCTCACCACTGGCTGACTTGGTGAGTGGGGGTGTCCAAAAAGGTAGGCAAGAGGCCTAAGCTTTCATAGCTAGAGACTGTGACCTCAAGAAGGAGACCTCCAAATTCTGGAAGAAACAGGGCAATACAGTGGATAAGTGGGAGGCAGAAGGGAAGGGTTTGTGATAGATGGAGGATCTTTAACCTTCCTAAGGAAGTTCTTAGGCTAAGTGAGAGCTGTACTGTGCTTTTGGACTAGGAGTGGGGCCTCACTTTTATAAAGACAATGGGAAGATTTCTGTGGTCTCTGACCAGGGCTTGTTTTCTCATCCTTTCCCATAGGCCAAGGTTATTAAGACTCAATCAACCCAGCGTCTCTCCTACCCACTCACCATTGCTACCCTCCTCTCCTCTGCCTCCTGGACCCTCTATGGGTTTCGACTTGGAGATTTCTACATCATGGTGAGCAGAGTATGGAAAGGGAGACAGGTGTCCAAGGTGGAAAACCAGCTCCTCTAATCGTTAATGCATGATTTCAGGTGCCCAACATTCCAGGAATCTTCACCAGCCTCATCCGTCTCTGGCTTTTCTGGAAGTATCCCCAGGAGCAAGACAAGAACTATCAGCTCCTACAAACCTGAGGCATTGTACTTGACTTCTGTCTACTTAATGGCAACCTAATACCAAAGAGGACCCTTCATTTCCACTATTTCTGTTGACCAGCCCCACAGATGTAGTGGGTTGTGGGAAACAAAAAGGGATGGCTTTGTAAATAGAGGAATCAGTGTAACAGTTTTACTTAAAACACTAGGTGGGACCCAGGAGATCAGTTGCTTTTATTTTTGAGAGAGATTATTTTTTTAATTTTGGAGGTCGGGGTTATAGTTTTAGAATGTGCCTTAGAAT